TTAGATATTATGCAGCAATGTAACTGATTGGTAGGACAATTTGGTGAGAATGATCCACTTTTATTTGGACATCCTACAATTAAACTTAGTTAAACTTCAGATTTAGATTTTCTTAGAAAGTTGTAGTATTGATGAATTTCTTGTGTAGTCACAAATTTGTTGTTGGGAATAGTACAATTTATTGTTCCCACTAGAAAAGTATCATTAATTCTTTCAATTTTCTTTTTGGGTGGCATTATATAAATCATTAATATTTTATGTTAATCTAAATTTAAATGTTTACATATATGTTTGTTAGATAAAATAGTTATAAAAGATTATATTTTAATTTTGAAAATGAAAAATTTATTTTTTATTTTATTTTAAATCTTTTTTATTCTTTATTTTCCATAATCTAACATTTTTTTTTTGCATTTCTTTCTTTATCATTTAGAGAAAAGTTTATTTGAAAAATAAACTTAATACAGATACCTGCTCGGTTAGATAACAAGAGTGTCTGTTTAAAACATGTTGGGCTTTTTCAGCGACCACACAGAAGTTTGGTATACTTGTAAGAGTTTCTAGGTCTTTAAATGACTCTTTATCATTAATTGGTGCATTGATAGCTTTTGGTGCATCACCAAGCTTGATCAAAATATTTAATAAAATATAAGTCAAAATATTTTTAAGTTGCTTAAATCAGATTCCATTAACTTATCTTTAAAGAATTTTGGTGCCATCTGGCACAATGACTAGCACCACATGTTTTCCGTTTCTTGAGTTCCTCTCCACCTAATAGAAAAATTTTAAGCTAATTTTGCATCTTCTTTTTAATTGTCTTGTGCATGATGCTTAGATTATAATACTTTCTCTAAAAAGTTGCAAATTTTGTTTCTTTTTTAAAAAAAGGATTTTTAAGATCTTATTAAAGATTTTAGAATTTTTTCAGAGTTGAAAATCTTTTTTAAGAATTTTTTCAGAGTTGAGCCATTCTTTTTTAAGAATTTTAAACTCTATATTTTCATCAGATATTTTCTCCTTTTTAAAAGTTTTAAACTCTATATTATCATCAGATATTTTCTCCTTTTTAAAAGTTTTAAACTCTATTACCATCAGAAATTTTCTCCATTGAAATAAAGCATTCTAAAATAACCCAAGAATCAATTCTAAAACATGATGGCGACATGCGAGTCAGAGAAGTATTTTCATAGATTTGGTTTTCTCAAGAGAAGTTGCCACTCCATTTCTCACTCCAGTATTACAAGCCGTTGTATCAAAAACTTGGGCAATAATATTTTTCTAAAGATTCCATTCTTCTAAATCTTCTATAATTCCTCTACAGATAGAAATTCCTGACTAAACAGGTTTAATTGATAAAATTTTACCTTTCGGGCAATTTAGAAAACCACTTACTACAGTTAAATAGTTGAACTTTTTACTAGATATTTGCTTCAGATATGAGTTTCCCATCCCAGTGAAGAGTTAAATAATCTGATTTAATTTTTGTTTTAAACTCTGAAAGTATATTTTTTGACATAATTTGCCTATTTTGCTTACGTGCTTTTCTAACTAAAGAAGTGGACATTTCAATAAATACAAAAATTGTATTTATTGAAATGTCCACTTCTTTAGTTTTAACACCACCTAATAACATATTTTATAGTTTCTTATGCTTATCAAAAATAAAAGCAATTTAAAAACAAACAAAAAAACAAAAAAAAAACTAGAACCAGGATTGCAGAAATAATCATTATAAGCTGTGCGTTTGATAATTTAGATCTGTCAGCTGTTGCTGTTATCATTGGATAATAAATCAAGTTTCTTGGTAAAGTTAAATTTATATTTTGTGACACAACATCTTCCATGATTTCGATAGATGATTTTAAATTATTTACTTTATGATTAATTTTAGAAGAGCTCTGAAAATCAGAGTCACTACTATTATCGATGTTAAAATCAGTTTCATTGTTGGATTTTTGTCTCTTTTTTTATTGATTCTCGATTTTTTTTTCTTCTTTTTTTTCTTTGTAATCTCAATTTTGATAAATTATCTCTCCAACCTATTCCTCCAGTTTTAACTCCAAATTTGAGAGCTGCAAACCAGGCAATATTTTTCATCATTTTTAAGTGATAACCTTTACAAACAAAAGCAGAAATTTAATTAAAGCACATTATTTTCATATATAAAAAAAATGTGTAATACACCAATTAAAATTTGAAAAAATTTAAAAAATATATAAACCTTAAAAATTTGTAGACATCGCGAGTAGTAGGCAGAGAACTGGTATTAATATCTTAAAAAGGGTATCCAACTAACCAAATTTCATCTGATGATTTCAATGCTTTTGTGTATTTCTTTTTATTGACTCTGCCAGACTGGTTTTTTTTTCGATTTATTTATCTTTTGTATAAGAGATGCCATTTTTAAAATTTTGTATTATAGATACCATTTTTACAATTTTGTATAAGAGATGCCATTTTTTAAAATTTTGTATAAGAGATGCCAATTTTAAAAATTTGTATAAGAGATGCCACTTTTAAAACTTTAGTATAAGATGCCATTTTTAAAAACTTTTGTATAAGAGATGCCATTTTTAAAATGAATTAAGGCTTTTATGACTAATAGAAAAATATTAACAATTAAAACATGATGATTGATTTTTTACTTTAAAACGAATGCAAAAGTTAATGTAGCTGTAGAATTTGTTCATTTTTTATAATGATACTTCAATTAGTATTATAATATGAAGTTATTCAGTAAGGACTATTTGAAAATTGTAAACTTTCTTATAAAAAAAAAACTAATATTATTATACATTATTTGTATTTTAAATAGCCATTATATCTAGTTTTAACAATTTGTTAAAATACAAGATATGATAAGCATTTTGTGTAGTATAAAGTTTTATTCAGTATTTGAAGCATGTTTTTTTGAGAATAAAAAGTCATTGCATTGCAAAACAATCTTTAAGTGTTGTAAAGTTAAAAAGGATGTATGAATTTTGTTTGTTTATATAAAAAACAATTGAAATACACCATTATTCATTAGTATTTAACCGAATAAATTAAAAATTGGAACAGATGTAATGGAAGTTTTGTGTTTATGTTGTTATTCAAATAATTCAGACTTAAAATGAAATTTGGCAGAACTTAGAGATATGCTAGGTAAACACTTTCAAAACAAAAAATGTTTCTTATAGTAATAAGAACAATATTTGATGCAGACATAAGTAAAATTGACTCTTTGAAAAATTTATGTGATATAGTGCCCTACCCTAATATATATATATATATATATATATATATATATATATATATATATATATATATATATATATATATATATATATATATATATATATATATATATATATATATATATATCTACTATAGCATATTTATATGCGCAATTGCTCACTTTTTTTGCTAGCCTGGCCTGAGGAAAAACGAAGAATAATGAATGAAAATGTTGCTGACCCATACCAAACCCTCAGTCGATGTAGCAGCACTCCACGGCGAGTCAGGCTATTTGTCAGTCGATGTATGTACTGAAGCCCCCGGCAGCAGGCTATTTGACATTAGGTGAGTATGACATCATCATGCTCACCTAACTCAGCAGTATAAGATATATACATTTGTATATATATATATATATATATATATATATATATATATATATATATATATATATATATATATATATATATATGATATATATATATATATATATATATATGTATATATATATATATATGTATATATATATGTATATATATATATATATATATATATATATATATATATATATATATATATATATATATATATATATATATATATATATATATATATATACAAATGTTGCAACAGGTTACTTATTCTCTTGCATAAGTTGTCAAAGGAACCTTTTGTTCTAACATTCTTTGTACTTTTTTAAATAAACCATTCTAGTTAGTAAAAATTTGTTTGATTTTGTGAGGTTTATATTTATTTTATTTAATTATTATTAATGGTAGGTGAAGTTAATTGCTGGTGAATTTTAATTTAGCAACTGCTTTAATGATTAAAATGTGTTGATGAATTTGATGAGTAAACTTCAGCTAGAAGATGTTTTAGTTATTGGCTCTGAATTCTCTGAAGATATGTAGAGGTTTATTTTTGAGATAGATATCAAAAGGTTTATTCTTGAGGTAAATATCAAGAGGCTTATTCTTGAGGTAGATATCAAGAGGTTTATTCTTGAGGTAGAAATCAAGAAGTTTATGCTTGAGGTAGATATCAATAAGTTTATTTTCAAAGTAAGTATCAAGAGGTTATTTGCAAACTATTCATTTTTTTTACTATTTAAAATATTATTTAAACAAATTGTTATAGTTTACTAAAAGGCCATGTTTGACATAATATCTGTTAGAACCTGGTCCTAAAACAACCTTGAATATTAAGAAATAAAATAAGTAAAATAAAAAATAAATATTTAAGATGTTACAGTATAAATGTGTAAACATTGGTCTTGGTGATGATTTAACAATTTCTTTTTATGTACCTTTCTAAAAGGCAGGATGGGAAGTTTGTAAGGTTTTGTATTTTTAGGGCCTTCAATGAGCTTTTTTTTTTTTTTAAGACTTAAAATATGTTTGACTAACTTTTGAAGTTGGATGTAAGTAGTATGAATAACTTTTCAAATAGGGTGAAAAGTTGGATGTAAGTAGTATGAATAACTTTTCAAATAGGGTGAAAAGTTGGATGTAAGTAGTATGAATAACTTTTCAAATAGGGTGAAATGTTGGATGTAAGTAGTATGAATAACTTTTCAAATAGGGTGAAAGTTTCTTTTTATTTGAGACTTTTATTTTAATTTAATTAGGTAGTTTACTAATGTTTTATTTTAATATGACTACTATCAAAAAAGTGGAATTTAAATTTTTTGGAAAATAATTTTTTTTTGTGTAAATCATGTCAATTGAATTTTTTGTGTTTCTTTATTTATAGCTAGTTTTGTATTGTCATATAATTATATTTAGGTTTATAATCATTTTCTTGATGAAGGGGAGAATATCAGGCAAACATTAGAAATTGAACGCTTAATTGTGGGTGGATGTCATGTACTTCTTAATGCAAATCAAAAATTTATAAGACACGGTGAGAATAGTTCAAGTTTAACTGTTTTTTCAAAAATATATTTATGTAGAGATGCAGAATAAGAAAAATGTAAATCTTGTGTCATGTTTAAGAATGTTGTGCATAATAGAGATGTTTTTTTATTATGCACAATAACATACCCAGCGCCGTGTATATTTTGCAAAGTTTTTTGAAATAAAAGCTTATAAAATATCTTGCTCTTATAATTAGCTAAAATGTTAACTTAGTATCTTCATACATTGGTGTACTTGAAAATTGATTATGGTATATAGTTATTGTTATATGTAATGTGTTCATTAGAAATGTGCTGGGTATCCGGCTTGGTCCCAGTTATCCAGGTGGTTTTTTACAACTCCAAGCCGTGCACCTTGAGCAGCTATATATCACAAGTATCCAAGAAATATATATTCTCGGTACTCAGGAAAACTGCCAGAATATAAAGATGATAAGTACCCAGCTATGACTGGGTACCTGGCATTTTTTCTGGCAGTTTTTCTCTGGTACCTGGAATATAAAAGTACTGGTTATCTGGCCTGGATTATTTTGCTGGTTTTTTGGGTAATCAGAATATATAGATGTGACGGATGCCCAGCATAAAACTTTAAAAACTGCCAGAAAACCGAGATCTTGTGGGGTACCTAGCACATCTCTAGTATTCATTAAAAGATTTTAAATCTTATTGGACTTATCTTTCTATATTAGTGTATATGATTAAAATTGGTTTTGTATACTGGTAAGACTACAGGCTTATATAAGGCTTATATACAAGAATTATATAGTTATATACAAGAATAATTTAAGATCAAGTGTACTAGAAAAGAAAGCTAATAGCTTTCTTTTCCAGTGCAAAATAGAAAGCAAGTATTTATAAATTTTTCAAATTAATAAAACATTTCTTACCATTACTTTTACAGGTGTTCTAAAACAAATTGGAACAGAAGAAAATGGGTTGAAAAAAGAAAAATTGCGTCACTGTTTTTTATTTAGTCACCATCTTATAATAGCTTCAAGAACTCACGATGGCCACCTGCGTCTTTCAAATGTAATTGTTTTTTTTTTGGAGGAAAAAATTCTTTTAAAAATATTTTAGATAATTCTTAAATACTTAAAAAAAAAAAAATTTATGTTATTTATGTTTATTTTTATTTAGGTTATTGGTACTATTCCTATATCGTGTACCTCCTTGGTTGAAGATATTGAAAATACTTCATATCCAGATACTGTTAAATATTCATCATTTACACTTCAAGTAAATGGTGAATCAGAATCATTTTCTATTACTTTAATGGCTAACAAGTCCAGTGATAAAGCCTTGTGGACTTCTGATATTACCCAGGTAGCCATTTTTTAATCAAGTTTAACATTTTGTAATCGATAATCTTAAAATTGATCAGTTTAAAATTGTAATAGATAATCAAGTTTATATTATATAATTTCGATAAGTTGATTTTAGTAAATTAATTTATGATAAAGTTGATCTTTGTAAATTAAAGTATATAAAAATTAAAGTATAATGTAAAGTAAATTATAATTATATAAAAATTTTTATAATTTAGTTTTTCATGAATAAAAACATATTTTTTAATTAGAGTGTTAATGAATTATTATTATAGTGATTTTTTTAATTATTAGTGCATTTATAACTTGGCTCTTGAGGAGTCTATAAACTCAGTTACATTACCAACAAATAAAGAAACTCTGGACCAGTATGAAACACTTGAAGAAAATGTACAGAAAAGAATGTTGGGTCTTTTAACTATTAAGTATGTTGTTTTATATCTTCCTACTTTTTACATGTTACAGCATACATGATTGTTACAGTATACATGGTTGTTACAGTATACATGGTTGTTACAGTATACATGGTTGTTACAGTATACATAGTTGTTACAGTATACATGGTTGAAAAAACTAATTATTTTTATAAAAAGTTTTCTAATGTGTTATACAATTATTGATAAGTGTTTAATAGTTGATTTTAAAAGTGAATTAAAAACTGATCTTAGGAATGTTAGGATAATTAGGATGTTTTAGTGAGATCTTTGGAATGTTTTGTTTGCAAAAAAATTATTCAGTTGTATTTGAATTATCTCATTAAAACACTTTTTGTAATATTTGTATAAAATACTTTTAATACATTACTAGAGTTTAATACACCATTAGGGTTTGATACATCACTAGGGTTTAATACACCATTAGGGTTTGATACATCACTAGGGTTTAATACACCATTAGGGTTTGATACATCTCTAGGGTTTAACACACTACAATGGTTTAATACATTACTAGAGTTACCAGGGTTTAATACGTCACAAAAGTTTAATACACCACTAAAGTTTAATACATCACTAGAGTTTAATACACCATTAGGGTTCAATAGACCGATTTTGATTCACAAGAGTAAGCCCATAATTTTTAGATAAAAAATCTCAAGTAAATATAATACCAAGGTTTTATTTAGGATTTAATAATATCTATTTTAGGAGTTAATAATATAAAGGTTTTATTTTTTTTCACATAAAAGACAATACATTTGTTTTATCAGATTTAATTGTATAAATAATATTTTATTTTAATTTTATTTTTGAAAATTTGCACCCATATTTTCACACAATACATTAATATGTTAGTTTTGTATGCAGATAATTTTTAAAAAATATTTTGGTATTATTTAAGTAATTTTTGTATGTTTATTTTGTTGATTTAATAGAGAAGATATAAAGTTAAGAGTAGACAGTGAAGATATTAAGTATGGTGATGAACTAACCGGTCCATATCACTTACCCCAGGTAATTTATATTGCATTAAGTTATTGTTTCCGGATATTATGCATTATATACTTATTACATTATAACAGGTTATACTTAATACAGTAAATATAATACAGCAATTAAAGTTTTAATGACTTAATACAGTTATTAGCAATTGTTAAGTTCAATTTTAATTTTATGTAAGTAAAAATAAAACATTGTTACATCACATGTTACATCATATGTTCAATTTTTTAATAACATAAAAACCACTACTTGCACAACAATTTTTTTACTACTGTTTTTTTTGATAAGTAAATCATTTTGTGTGTATAATGTGTATACTTTTTCAGATATTGTATGCAAGTGTTGATAGATTAATTGAGCGTCTTTATGATCCTCGCTTACCTGGTGGAGAGTTTATGGAAACTTTCTTGCTAACATATAGAGCTTTTACTAAAGCTCATTATGTTATAAACAAACTAATAGATGCGTATTGGATGGTAGTTGGAGGAAAGGCCTCACCTAAAGAATCTATACGAAAAATTAGTGAAGGTGATGTTTTTTTAAACTATATTACCATTTACTTATTTATTTTTTTATTTAGTAGTTTGAATTTGAGTTATATTATTAAATTATTTTAGAATTTTTATATATTCATTTATACATTACTAGTAGCATAATACTAGTATTATTATAAATCCTAATTGATTCCAACTAAATAAAAAAACCAATTATCTTATCCGATTTTGCTAAACATGCAATGTAGTAAGTAACAAAATTAGCTAAAGTTATAATAGCTCTTGAAAAACTATCAAACCTCGGCCAAAAATCCATTAATAAGCATCTCAGCGAGGTTACTATTTCTATCGGGATATGTAATTTTGGAGAAGCTACTAAATGTTGGATCAAAATATCTGAGTCATCATCAAGTTAAAGAATTCTCTGATAAATCACATTCATAAAAGATTTTGTGTTGGATTCTTGAACTATTTTTAAAAGTGTATCTTTAATACCAATTGTCAAGACTTCCAAATATATGTAGTTTATCACAAACTTCACTTGAGTCTTCTTCACGCCAAAACGATCTTTTTTACCTGCATGACTTGAAATTTCAAAAACTGCATTAGCACACTTCAAATCAAAAGCAGATAAAAACTTTACATCTTGTAAATTGAATTTCTCCAAAATACATTCTTAAATTTAATTTTGATTCTTGCATCTTAACTTTGATTAGAATTTGACTGCGCTGTACACTATATTTAAAATTTAAATTACTATTTCATTACCATCAAAAACATTTGCAATAACCTTAATAAAACCAGCTCCGTCCATTGTTATTGATGTTAATTAATTTAAAAAATTTAAAAAAGTTGAACAACCCTTGAAAAGTATTGAATGCTACCACAATAAAAAAAATGTAGAAAGTAATTTTGTAAAAAACTAAGAAAGTAATTTTGTTTCTGAAATTCCCATTTACTCTTCAAGTTTAAAGTCAGAAAATGAGTTTAGTAATAAATCTAATTTTCCTTCTGTGGTTTGCGATGAGGTGCAGTATGATGTATGTGATAGTCAACAAATGTCTTTACTAACATTGTTTGAACTAAATATATATGTTTTAAGTCTTATGTATAATAGCAAAATGCAAAAAAGTCCTTCAATTTTCTATAGTCTTTATAAAAAAAAACCAGAATGAAAATATTTATAATTTACAAATAGTTAGAACTTCATGCAAAAATAAGTTTGAGCAATTCAAAATTACCATGCACCTCCTAACTGGAATAAGTTTTTACTAATTAATTTAAATTAAAAAAATGCAAAAATATGCATCAAAGGAGCTGTCAAGCCTAACCAAGCTGTCAAGCCTAAGTGAAATAAGGAAAAAATTAGGAAGAGAGAAAGGATAAAAAAATTAAAAATATATATTGAACAGATATTCAGAACAAAAACAAAGATACTATAGTAAAGTGTGTAGTAAAAAATAATAATGATAACTTAGACACCGCGCATGTAATAAAAATGTAATAAAAGCAAAACAGGACACATAAGTAACCATAAATCTACAGTAAATACAAATGTTTAACATACTTAAAATAAATATACATATGTATAGATATATCAGTATTTAAAATGAACAAATATAAAATCATAGGAGGTATAAGATAAAGAAAAAACATTATTGCTTTTGTGTAATCATAATTTATGTAGTGGTGGTAATAAACTTCTCAGAATTATTATTACCGGCTTTTCAAAGAGGCTCAGCACCAATACCTAGTTTATCCCATCAAATAAACATCGCCATTTATGCTTTACCCCGCGATTAATGATTTTATGTAAAAGTTTTATGAATATGGACTCTTCTAGGTCACCTTCTTTTCCAAATCAGTGACCTAGAAGTTGTTTTCTACTACAGTCTTACAACCCATTACTTTTGTTTTTCATAATAGTATTTTTATTAGAAACTGGTATTCTATTTAAAAAACAAGTTCAGCCTAAAATTAGTTAGTCGAATCTAATTAAAAACATTTGCATTTAAGTTCACACTCTTTTTTTATTATTTTTTTTTTTTGCAATGACCATGTCTTTAAAAAGCATTGCAGTATATTATGCAATTATTGGTTTACTTCTAAAATGATTTTTATTTTAGTTACAACAATAATGCTTTTCTTTTATTAACAACTTTACAAACTTGACTATATTGTCATTAATGTTATTACGATATTGACAATTTTGTAAGCTTAAATGCAATCTGTAACTCATATGTGCGTATATATATATATATATATATATATATATATATATATATATATATATATATATATATATATATATATATATATACACATATATATATATATATATATATATATATATATATATATATATATATATATATATATATATATATATATATATATATATATATATATATATATATATATATATATATATATATACAGTAGCTTTCATAAATTTAGACGCATTCATTTTTTTTTTCATATGTGTAGGAAAATACTCAAAATAAAAATAAAATAAAAGTGCTACCGCTATGTTTGATATATAATTTAAAAGAGGAAATAAAACTCTATTATAGAGTACCTTAATTTTTTTTACAGGATGTTTATTACTCATTTTATACCGATTAACACAAAAAAGTTAATTGATAAACTTGATTTTATTTTGTTCATAAATTAAGACGCACAATTAAAAAAGTCTTATATCTTGTTAATTGATTGTTAATTAGTAGTTTTCTTCTTATATTTCTCATTAATAGGCCTAAATTAATTGATTTTGTCAAAAAACCTTATATAAATATGACTTACCTGGAATTATTTAATCATTATTTAATAAATAAACAAAAGTTAAGTTATTTTTGCACTAAAAAAACGTAAAACATGGGCAAAAGACGTATCACTCAAGGTGAAAGATGGCAAATTATTGCGCACATCAAAGAAGGAACCAAAAGTAATAGAGAAATCGCCAAGTTAATTGGAGTTTCTGAGAAATGCGTTCAGACAACGAAACAAAACTTTCTTCACACTGGTGGTGCCAGCGAGAAAACGAGGCCAGGTAGACCCTTGTCAACCACGAGAAAGGACAATAGTGTTCTTTTTAGAGCTGTCAGAGCTAATCCAAGAATTAGTTACAAAGAATTGACCACAGAATTCAATACAACGCGAAATACATCTATTTCTCAAAGCACAGTCCGCCGAATACTTATCAAATACAAAATTGGAGTCTACACTGCTTTGAAGAAACCGCTTCTGCATCCATATGATAAACAAAGGAGACTAAAATGGTGTCGTAAAATGGTGACAATAGATCAATGGGAAAACATTATAAGGAGTGATGAGAGTAACTTTGAGCTTATCAATCGCAAATCTAACATAACAGTCAAAAGAATGGCTCACAAAAAGTATTACGCCAGGTACATTAGACCAACTGTACAAAGTGGAGGAGGCTCGATAGGAATCTGGTCATGCTTCAATTACAAAGGTGTTGGTATGTGCCAAACATACACCGGAAGAATCAACTCCAGAATATACGTAGAAGTACTGGAAAACAACCTAATTCCATCAATTGACCTGCTTATGCTCAATGATAAAGCATGGAAACTTCAACAAGATAGCGCTACTGCACATACTGCATACTATACAAAGGAGTGGTTCAACGATAATAATATTATGACAATACCGTGGCCTCCATATTCAACTGATTTGAACCCGATTGAAAACATTTGGGCTTGGATTGATCGTGAATTAGCAAAGGTTCAAATTTCCACACTTGGTCAGCTGAAGGAATTCCTTAAGGAGACCTGGTATGGGGTCCCAGAAGCGATGCGCAAAAATCTTGTTGAGTCTATGCCTAGAAAAGTTCTTAGTTGTATTAAAGCAAAAGGGGGATACACAAAATATTGATTGGTTCATAAATTACGCCTTCTAATGTATCGTGCGTCTAAATTTATGAATAATTTTTTTTGTCTAATTTTTTTAATACCATGTAGTTGTACCTAATTATTACTTAGTATTTCATTTTTTTTTTGTAAACTTTTTTTAAATTTTGTATTCTGTATGTATTTATCTGATAAATAGAAAAAAAACTAAACCGAAATCTTTTTTCGTCATTGTTTTATCGTTAAAATACCTAAAATTTTCTATTCTCAAATATGAGTGCGTCTAAATTTATGAAAACCACTGTATATATATATATATATATATATATATATATATATATATATATATATATATATATATATATATATATATATATATATATATATATATATATAAATTATGTTAGTGTGTTCTACAAATAGAGTGCTCATCAGGCTTCCTGATGAGCCTACTGACTATGTAAATGTTATTTTTTAATTATGTTTATTGTTTTTATTTTCTTAATGTTTAATGAATAATGTAAATGTTATTTTACATTAGTTACTAGTGTTTTTAACTAATGCAAACTTAATTTGAAAGACATTTAAAAGTAATTTAGATTTTTAAATTTTTGAATATATTTAAATACTTTGCCAATCTTTTCTGCCCATTAACTTGGACCTTGCTTTAAATATTTGCCAACAAACAGACAAAAGTTACATGACATCAATTATTTTCATCATTTTTGACTATAGCAGTTAAATTACCCTCAAAAATGGGTAACATGATTGCTGATAAAAAATTTTAATGGATTCAGATCTAAAAGGTTTTATTTTATTAAGGCCTACTCTCAAAGATCCAAGGTTAAAAAGGTCCTACTAACCTTACTCACCCACGCCTATTACCCTTACCCACATAAATGCAGATGGTCTTTTATCTGCGTTGTCCTTTTATGTTTGTTATCTATATTTATATACTCGGTTTTCTTATCATGTTCATTGAGGAGAATTGGAATATCAAAGTTAAAAAGTTAGTTTTTTTACCAAGTATAAATGGTATTGTTATTTGACTATTTCAAAGTTGTTTAATCAAGTATCCTATGTTAGCTCATGTAACATTGTTGTTATTTACTTGTTTGTGTACTTAATCCATGCACTTTTTGAAAACCTTTCCATTCACTTTCCATTCACTTTCCATTCACTTTCCATTCACTTTCCATTCACTTGTAAAATTTTATTATATGAATAATCTTTTAAACTGCTGAAAATCTAAAAGGTTGTTTTTTTTAATTAAAAAGCTCCAACTTCTCTAGATGGCGAAAGAAATACTAACTTTAAGTTTTTTTAAAAACATTTTTGAAGGGAAATTTAAAATTTTAGTTTAAAATTAAATTGAAAAAAGCAGTCATTGAAATAGAGCAGATATTTAAAATTTTTATCAAAAAGTAATAGGTAATAGTATAGAAGGGTTTGAAGGGAGTACTACATTGGAAACTACCCTTGTAGTAAGCAACATTGGTACAAAATTGGTACAATTCTTGTCTCAATATTGGTGCAATATTGTTAATAATATTGTTATCAATATAAAATGTCCACATCATGATATATAAAATATTGATTTACATCATGATATATTACATCAATATTGATTTACAATATTGATTTAATTATGATTTTATTATTATTATGAATATTGGTTATATATAAGCTCAAGTATAATGTCAACATATTTTTTTATCATAATCAAGGAAAAAATGCATAGTATTCGCCAATATGAGCATGCCAATATAGCCCCAATATTAGCATTCTAATATCGGACAAAAAATATTGGAGCAATATTGGTGCTTTAATGCTTGCCAATAATGGTATACTAATATTGGAGCAATATTGTTGTCCATTTTTATATATCTTGTCCAATATTACCCAAGGTGCCCAATATTGCACCATTATTAATAATAGTTGTCTAAAATTCAGATGTCTAAAATTCATACTTTACAGATCTGGTTAAAAATCTGAATATCTGGTATTAAATATAGTTTTCCAACTCTATTGGTCTTGAGGGAACACATTTTTGTTGCAAACCTACATCTAATTTGTTAATGCATTTGATATTTTGTTGCTTTTAGAGAGATTAGCTTTCGGTTGCCTAATCAATAGTTTTAACAGTTTACAATGTCTGTTTACTATTACTTTTTAAGGTCATTTTGTATTATAACTTTTAAAGTTCATTTTGTATTATTAACTTAAGAGTAAAAAATATATGATCTAAGTGAAAAATTTAGTTTAATTTAAAATTTAGTTCTTCTAAGGTTTTTAGCATTACGGCGTAAAAAACTATTTTTGAATTTATTTTTAATTTGTAGAAAGCACTATTACAACAACTCGAACTCGTGGAATTAGTATATTGAGTTCATCCAGTTATTCATCTTTTGACGATGATGCAGCATTTCATGCTAATGCTTCAACATCTACTACTGTATTCAATTATACCACTGTAAAAGAGCAGTTAAACTTGCCTTTACGAAAATCTGCTGATACTTCACAATGGTGTCAAGATCAATCACCACAAGATGGTGATTTAGCATCACATGGTCGACGCTGTTCATCACTTTGTGTTTCTCCAGTTGAAACAATGCTTAAAGATACTGAAAAAATTTATAGGCGACATAGTATGGAGTTCAACTCGGCAAGTGATGAAAGCAATGAAAAAGACTTCATCTATTCCTATAACTCTCAGAAAAAAAATGGTTTTTGTAAGCAGGAAGATTTCTCTTGTAGTGAAAATTCATCTTATCAATCAAACAGTCATGAGAATTTTTTTATGCATTTTGGAATCGATCAAAATGATGATACAGAAAATACTATCAATGATTTTCAATTATCAGAAAACAATAATAATATATTATCAACTAAAAAAGTTGAACAACCCTTGAATAATAATGATAAATTATTAACTAAAAAAGTTGAACAACCCTTGAAAAGTATTGAATGCTACCACAATAAAAAGAATGTAGAAAATAATTTTGTAAAAAACAAAGAAATTAATTTTGTTTCTGAAATTCCCATTTACTCTTCAAGTTTAAACTCAGAAAATGAGTTTAGTAATAAATCTAATTTTCCTTCTGTGGTTTGCGATGAGGTGCAGTATGATGTATGTGATAGTCAACAATCTTTAACAACCAATAAATGTGTTACAGACTTTAAAAATAATAGAAATCTGTTAGTTTCAGAAAAAGATCAGTTGATTTCTGGATGTTTAAATTGTATGCAGAAAAAATCTGAATCAAACTTAGATACAATAAAAGTTACTCACAGCAAAAGTGATGAGACAATTAGTGCTAGCCAGAACAAAAATGAGCTTCCCAAATCCAGTCGTTCATTAGATCAACAAAAGGTTTCTACATCACCTAGTTTTTGGCCCAAGAAGAAAGCAAAGAGTCTTACTCAAGAAAATAGCATCCCTTTTGACACAAAATCAGATAAAAACAAATCTTCTTTGAGCAAACAATTAGATTCTCGTGATTGCCACTCTATTTCTGACTTGAATGCTGACGAGATAACACAAAAGTTTGAAGAAACTGATCCTGATTTATCAAAACAAAGAGATTCCACAGATTCTAGCTTCAAACCAAAAAGATCACTTTTTAACATGGCCTTTTCTTTCCGTAAATCAGGTTTAAAACGATCTACTTCTGAACAAGTTTTGAATGTGAGCAAAACTATCAAAGCAAAAACATCGTTTGATAATAACTCTTTGTTATCTGGTAGTATGGCTAAAATTTCAGAAGATAGCAAAATTACAGAAGATTTACAGTTTGAATCTCCTTTAAGGAATGATAAAACATTTGATGGAATTAAAAAACGCATGAAAGCATCAATTCGTTTAACTTCTAAGAAAGATCAATCTCCAAATAGAAATCGCAAAGTTTCTTTGTTTGATCAAAGTATTATTAATGTTAACAGAAATCTGTTAAAAATAATGAGTATATTTAAGCATTGGTTGGCCAAGCATCCAAAGGTATATTTTGCTTTATTATATACAATATGTTTATCTATTTATGCCAAACAATCTATAAATATTTTATACATTTAACTTTTTAAAAATAAAATACCATTGCAATCATTGTTGTTAAATTTAATTTTGAAGGATTTTATTGAAGATTATGATCTTTGTGGACAGCTGTTGGGTTTTTTTGAGGATATCAAAAGTGATTATAGAACACTTCCAGTTATTCTTGAAATTGTATCTAATCTTGAAAAGTGAGTTTTTTTTGATTTTGTTATACATTTTCTTATTTTCACCAAAAAGTATAAAACTCAAACAATTATATTATTAATAAGAAGTGTACTAAGATTATATATAATGGAGGAATTTTATTTAGTTTTAATATGATAGAATTTTAGAAAAAAGAATTTTTAGGCTTTTAGGAATTTTTTCACATTATGACGTTTTAGATGTATAAATGCACAACGTAGATCATTATCGTCAGTTCATCATTTGGACATTTTGCTTCTTCAAAATGCTGGCTCAATGTCAAAAGATGATTCTTTGAAATCTTTAGATGCTTTTAACTATGACCTAGTTGCTGAAAATATAACATTGCTTGAACACTATTTATATTCTAAAATATCATTCAGGTATATTTCTTAATTTTTTTTTTATTTTTTATTTTTTTTTTAAACTAACATATTAAAGCGAACTTAAATATTTTAGTGAGTTTATCAGCTGCCAGTGGACAAAAAAAGATAAAGAAAAAAAAGCACCTGGTATTATGAAATTTATTGCAAGGTTCAACCAGGTACAGTTTACATATTATTGCAAAGTTTAACCAGGTGCAGTTTACATATTAAAAAAATATTATTTTAAAAAAAGTTTTTTTTTAGTTAACTGTAAATAATGTTTGAATTATGAATAAATTAAAAAAATATATATCTTATAGTTTGTAAGAAATGAGTTTTTTGTAAATTCTGAAAAGACAAATCACAATCTCCCACTCCTAAATCTAAATCTCCAGCTTTCCCAGTTAAAAACCCTATTCTGTAAATTTTGTCTTATCTACCCCTTCCCTCCTCCCCCTTCCCTCCCCCCCCCCCCTCCCTCCACCAACTTATTTTAATTCTAATTTTTGAAGTTTAAAATTATTTAAAAATTAAATTGTAAAATAATTATACTTTAAACTTCCTCAGATAACCAATATGATAAGTTACACGGTTGTGCATGGTGAATCTCCACAAATTAGAGCAAACAAAATGGAATTTTGGATTCGTGTGGCTTCTCATTGCAGAGATTTAAATAATTTTAATGGAATTATGGAGATCATCAGTGCTTTAAATGCAAGTTCTATTCACCGGCTTAAAAAATCTTGGGAGCTTTTACCAAAGCCTGTAAGTAGTCATATAATGAATATAAAGATATTTTTATATTTGTTTATATTTAAAGACATGTTTATATTAACAATATCATTATAAATATAATTTGTCTATGTGTCTTTTTAATTTGCTAGGTGAAAGATATATTTATTGAACTAGAAAAATTGGTCAGTGCTGATCGGTCATTTAAACAGCTTAGAGAAGCTGTTCATTTGTATGATAATTTTTTTTTTGTTTACTATTTTGTTGATTTTGGCAATTTTATAGTGTAATTACATAGCCTTTAATTAACTTTTAAATATTTGATAGGTGCAATCCACCTTGTGTTCCATATCTGGGGTGTTATTTGTCAGATCTTTTATTTGCTCAAGAAGGAGGGCCTACTTTTGATGATAATAATCTTGTTAATTTTGCTAAAATGAGCCGTGTATGTAGTTTTCAATTTTTTTTTCTTTTCTTTTTTTTTTTTATAATAAATTTTTTCAATATATTGAATCTTGTAATTTTCAGGTGTCACGTTTAGTGCGTGAAGTTAAATGTTATCAACAACTTCCATATACATTTCAAATAAATGATGAGGTAAAAAAGAAATTATTTTAATAAAAAATTAAAAAATTTTTCTTTCACTGCAACAGAAATAATTAATTACAATTATATTTTTTAATGCGTTGAGGTTAGTTTAAAAGTAACACACTTTAATTTTAACTTCTTTAAATCAAAAATGCTTTAGTTAAAAGTTTTTTATCAAAATTCAGAAATGTTTATGGATATAAATATTGAAGCGAGTGAGGCCCTTAATTAAAATAATGTTTTTCTTGCAATTAACTTTTTGGGTATTTTTTTAATTTTTCAACAAAAATAACTTTTTAACTGCTTATTGAATTTCCTTCAAATTTTCAACAATTTTTATTGATTGTATTTGTGGTGTGCTAAACCAAAGAAAATTAACGTTTTTTATAATAAAATATTAAAAGTTACACTTGAACAAGCTTTATTTATATTTTTTTGTTTTGTTGATAGAATTTTATAATTTTAAAGGTGATAAAATGTTGTTTATAATTTTTAATTCAGTAATCTTTTTAAACATAGATAAAAATACTTATCCCACCTCAGAAGTGTGCTACCACCTTAAAAGTGTGCTACCACCTTGAAAGTGTGCTACCACCTTAAAAGGGTGCTACCACCTTAAAAGGGTGCTACCACCTTAAAAGGGTGCTACCACCTTGAAAGTGTGCTACCACCTTGAAAGTGGTATTTAAAAGTAAAAGTTTATTTATTATTTGATTAGTTTGGTTTATGATAAATCTTTATACTTATTTAACATAAACCTAATCATATCTGATTAGGTTTATGTTAAATTATATTAACAATTATGTTGTATTTAAGGAAGTCTTACATAATTAGAAAATTAATGATATGTTTACTGAAAAACACATCCTGTTTTGTTTTTTTATAAAAACTGACCAAATGTGACACTGGTGTGTATTTCTTATATATTTATAGAACCACATTAATTGGTAAAATGTTATTGGAGTTTTAACAAATTAACAATTTTAATATAAAAAAAATCAAAATTAATAATATCTACCAGTGTAAAACATCATACTAAAAACAAAAATTGTAAAAGCATTTTCAATCTATGCCAACTAGATAGAAAATTAGGCCTTAAAAGCTGAATCAAATTTTTTTGCCACATTCCATGGTAAAAACATTGGCACTGCAAAAAGGTTTGAAACAGCCATACTGAAACTAAATTCTTACATCAGAAGCTATGTATGAATTTTATATTTAAAAAATCAAAGTTAACTTCATTTACATAAAATGTTCAGAATAACAATTGCACAAAAAAATTGTACAATCGTTTAGTAATTCTACCAGGTATTTGTAACTTACATCAGTTTATAGATCTTCAACCCTTAGAATTCGGAAACATACTGTTGGCAACAAATTGTCAACCTAAAACTATTTTAGGTTGTCATCAGGTTGGCACAAAATTTAGAAATATTGTTCGACAAATTAAAAATGTGCAAACACTTAGCATTGCATTGACAAAGAAATAAACGGAGAGATTAGCAACTTTCCTTTACAATGTAGACATTTGCTTAAAAATTTAAAAAATGAACGCAACTTTTTACCATTTTATTTGGAATTTAAATAAAACATTAGATTTGCCAATTTTATTTATTATAGAATAAATGAAATGTTTGTTTTTCTGTTTTTTTATTGTAGTTGTTATGTTTACATTTGAAATAAAAATTTTTCTTTAAAATTTAAATGTTTGTTTTGCCGTTTAATTATCTTCATTTTAAATTTAAAAACCTTTTCTTCTTTTGTATGATTTTATTTAGAGTTGAAAACCTTTGTTTTTTCAATATTATTTTAATTTTTTTAATTAAAATTTAATGTGATCAATTTGGTGGGAGACATTTTTAAAAGACGCTGAAAATAAAATTTAAAAAATGTGCTCCAGGGCAATGTTTTTTAGTGCCTAATAATCAGTTATTATTGATTTTGCATAAATTTTATTAAATGACATCATTATGTTTTATAAGGATGGTTTCATCTTGCCCATTCTTTGGTGCTGTACTAACAAAGTATTTGAACATATGCTAAAATCATTTTTTATTTATTCAAATTATTTTATTCCAATCTTTTAATGGCCAAACAGGACAAGGCACGAAGGAGTATGTGCTTTCCTTGCTCCCCCTCTGCCTACAGGCCTGATTTAAATTGGTTTTTCTTAAAACTCCTTTGAACCAATTTTTATAAAAGACATTTATATATAAAACATATTTACATAAGCTCATATTTATAAAAGACATATTTATATATAAAGCATATTTACATAAGCTCACTGGTCAGGTCAGGTCAGGTTTATCCTGCTACTGGTAACATGTAACCCAGTACAATCTGCTTCATGTCCTGCTGCCCATGTAACCCAGTACATCTGGGTTACATTAACATGTAACCCAGTACAATCTGCTTCATGTCCTGCTGCCTTGTAGGATATGCCTTTTTAGGAAAATGCTAGGAGATGCAAACTCCGACATAAAACACCCCCTGCCTAGGGGCTCTTGGTTGAGTAAAGGCTAGAGATGGTGTCTCAATAAAAATACTCATCTTGGGCAGATGTTAAATGCATCCGGCTGCTGTCTTGTAGAAGGCCTCCTAGGCAAAGACTTAAGGGGTAAACAGATTCTATCAGTTGACCAGCCTCGCACCCCTTCTTTATCTATTAGGCTGGCGCAGATATATATTTAATACATTGTTTCCAGTTTAGGATGTTGAATGCTGGATCTTGATTCATGGGTTTTGTTTGTGTCCCTGTTTTTATGACTAGGCAACTCATTCTATTATCTCCAAATGAGGGTACAGCTCTAAAACTTAGTTCTATGGTTCTGAGGCCGGCTGGTAGTCAGGTTTCCCAAACTCTGTGGTAGCTCTCAGAGAGGCTGATTCCCTCAACAGCTGAAAAATATCAGAGTACTAACAATGCCATGTTGCGCATGGATGGTGTCCCTGTTTGTACTTTTGGTGTGCATTGCCAAGGCCACATTGGAGCCCTTTGTTTCGGCTTAGGGTTTATTAGTGGAAATGAGGCAATTGCTTGAGCTATAAAGCAGTGTACTGAGTACTATCTATTTTTCGAGTCAAGTTCTTTAACAAATTTAAAAATTAATAAAGTAACAAAAACTTTAAAACACAAAAAACCACAGTCATCACCAAGTTTGCTAAACCTATTATTCATCAATATTCATTGTCTTTGAAGTAACTTTTCTTTTGTTGAGTCTTATCTCTTGCAAAGTTCACCAGACCTACTTGCTCTTTGTGAGACTAATTTGAGTTCAGCTGTCTCATCTTGTGATTTTAGTGTTGATGGTTATCTTCTTTTAATTTGTAAAGACTCCAATAGTCACATGCTTGGCCCAGGCATTTACATTCGTAAGAATTCACCCATTTGTCGGGAAACTAGGTTTGAATCCACAGACTACTCTTTTATGTGCTTTGTTTAGCACCACTTCACTCTATCACCTTTCTCTTTGTTCTATATCGCTCTCCCTCATCTCAAGACTGCACTCTTCTTGATATTATTTCTGATTATATTGACCAAGCCCTCATTCTTTATCCATCAGCCAATATTGTTGTTGTCGGTGACTTTAATGTTCATCACACTGAATGGCTTGGCTCTAGTGTCAGTGACTCTGCAGGCATTAAGGCCCACAACTTCTGTCTTTCTCAATCCCTAACTCAAATAGTCAACTTTCCAACTCGCTTTCCAGACAACCCGAATCATTTACCTTCTCTACTCGACTTATGTCTTGTTTCTGATCCTAGTCAGTGCTCAGTTTCTTCACACTCACCCTTAGGTGCTTCTAAGGGTGAGTGTGAAGAATCATGGTTTGGTCTCTCTAAAACTATTATCTCATTCTTCTTTACCATCAGAATCCCCCTATCATCATACATCTTACAACTACCTTAAAGCTGACTGGGACTCTTTCCGTGATTTTCTTTGTGATGGCCCCTGGGTAAAAATCTTTCGTCTCCATGTGGACAAATGTGCTTCTTAATTAACTGCTCTGGCATGGAATCCTTTATTCCCTCTCAGCGATTCCAGGTCAAGCCTCACTCTTCTCCATGGTTTTCCTCACATTGTGCTGCTGCAATTGCCAATCGAAACCATTACTTCCATATCTATATCAAAACAATTCTCTGATCTATCAGAAAACAGACGTCTTTTTATTACTGCTAGGAACCATTGTAAAAAGGTTTTGTCTAATGCCAAAGCCCGCTATTCTCAGATCATGAAATCTCGTATTTTATCACAAAAATTAGGCTCTCGTGATTTCTGGAGAATCTTTAATAGTATCAATAATAAGGGCAAGTCTGTAATTCCACCTCTTTGGTATGGTTCAGACTTTGTCACCTCACCTAAAGACAAAGCTGAATTGTTTGCCAAGAACTTTTCATCAATATCATCTCTTGATGCCACTAGTTGCATTCTACCTGATATAGCCATCAAACAGGTTGATCCATTGCTCGACATTCGTATCACTCTAGCAATCAAAGTGATTTCCTGCTTAGACTCTTCTACAGGTTGCGGCCCAGACAACATACCTGTTATAGTCTTGCAGAAGTGTTCTCCAGAGCTGTCGTCTATTCTTTCAAAACTATTTAGCAAGTGCTTATCAGACCCTTGTTTTCCAGCCTGCTGGAAAGCAGCTTCTGTTATCCCTATTTTTAAAAATTCTGGAGAGCGATCCGATTCGTCTAACTACCGTCCCATTAGTCTTCTTCTTATCATAAGCAAGGTTTTTGAATCTTTAATCAACAAACACTTAATCTCTCATCTCGAATCTCATAACCTACTTTCTGATCATCAATATGGATTTCGATCTTCTCGTTCTACGGCTGATTTGCTATTAGTAATAATTGATAGGTTTTATCGCGCATTAGATAAAGGTGTTTATTTCTCGACATTTCTAAAGCGTTTGATAAAGTTTGGCATGCTGGTCTTCTCCATAAGCTTTCTTCTTATGGTGTATCTGGAAACATCTTTAAGATTATTGAATCCTTTCTTT